ATCGTTCTGGGAGGACAATGTGTACGTACCGTGGCCAACCATGAAAGTTGGAGTCATACAGACCCCAAAAATCACTGAACTCCTAAATCTCTCCCCTTGTCTATAGAATGAAGATACTATCAACAACCCCCAGGTCTGTGGGGAGAAGTAAATGCAACATACTTTTAAGTGCCAGACCAATTTACCACATAGATGTTTTAAGAACTAGTATCTCTTCTTTTAGAGTAGGCTATAGCAGGCACTCTGGGGCTTTGGTCAACAAAAGGGTACATCCAACCTTTTTGAAAGAGGCAGAAAGAGCATCAGAATCAAGAGATTTGGGTTCAGAGCCTAGCTGCCTCTCATTTTAAGTGTCTTATGCCCTCTGATCTCAGGTTTCATCTGCAAGATGAGAACACTGAGTAATAAGAAAATTATGTCAAGAACCTAGGAGAGTACCTGGCAGAGCTGGTATTTTGTCCCTCTCCCCTTCAACTTCCTATAATAGTCAACCATGACACTGAGGCAAAGGAAGTGCACCAAGAAACAGTTTTCAATGCACAGTCAGCACAGAAAATGACCCAATAAAGGCCACAGAAAGAAAATCTCCTTTGGAATTAGCCCAATTTAAGAAAAGTCAAGAAAAGTTGAATTTTGCCAATTCTATAACATACAAAGTAACTGTGGACTTTAGAGAAAGCTTTAAGTATTCAAATCCTTGAAACATCAATTTGGGAAATAGTTGCCAAACTCTGAGCAAAAAAACAAATATATTCAGACATGCTGCTAACCTCAAGCAGCTCACAATCTAGAAATACAAGGCGATGGTGATGCACAAAGATAACAGACACCAAGGCAGGAGAGAGTCCTTCCAACGGGGAGAGCAAGACCTTGCAAAGGAGCAGCCAGATTTCACAAGCACTCATACAGAAGGGCACTCCAGGCAGAGCGGAGGCCTGAATACAGGAGAACATCACACGGCTTACTGGAGGCATCCTCTTGCCGAAGTAGGAGAGAGGTAGGTGATGACGGAAAAAGTGAGCTGAGGCAAGGTTAAGATGGGCTTTGAAATCCAGACCAGAAAATTGGACTTTATCCTGAAAGTAATATGGTAGTCCATTTGGGGTCCCCAGTACAGTTTTAGTAGTGTTTACACAAGATTTTCTTATGTATCAGAAACATCTGTTATAAAAAGGGACATCATGATTATCATTCTCTTTATTCTTCTCCTGAAGCAGCCCTCCAGAATCCTCACTGGCTATCAAAAAAGAATTCTCTGGACCTCTGGAAGGGCTTCAGCCTGAAGTCCCTGTAAGGTCTTCAAAGAAGCGCCCTTGGAGGTCCTCCCTCACTTTATAGTTGGAGGGACTAAGGTCCAAGAAGCGCAGAAGGTGTCAGAACCAGGGCCTCCCATGACTCCTCCCACACGCCATTCCCTCTGGGAAGGCAGGCCAGGATACCACAGATGTCTGTAGACCCTCACTCAAACTATTCACGGGCTATCTAGGGTGGAGTTACCTTGTGACAAATTCCTGGAGGAGGCCTAGGTCAAGTCCTTCTCCTCACCCCACAGGGCTCTGCTTTCCCTGCCCTCCTTCACCTGGGACCCGTGGAACAGGTATAGAAGAGCACCAGACACGGGGTAAGCAGCCTTCACTGCACCATTCATAACTCAACATGCCACCCCCTTTTTGGACCTCAGTGAGTCTCACTTTCCTTCGGTAATCTATAAAATGGAGACTGGCTTAGACCACTGGTTTACAAACTTTTAACGAAGAAAATAATGACAAAAAAAAAAAATCCAAATCTCACAAGAGAGCTCAATACATGAAAATCAGAAAAGTGCAGTTGCACTGGTTGAAGTACGGGAGGTCATACGCTTATCCCCACTCAGGCAGCCCTCTGGGTACCTTCTGTCAACCCCTGGGGCTCTGTAGAGCAAGTCTGAAAACCACCGGTCTAGCAGTTTCCCAGGGTTCTTTTCCACTTTAGTATGCTCAATTTTGATGCTCAAGTGAAAAGGTTAGTATGCTAGGCTCAGAAACCATGTCTCCACGGAGCGAGGCAGCACAATCTTCTGTCTGTCACAGTCAGGCTAGGAAAGAGTCAAGATCTACTGCCAACCCATGAGGCTGTGTCTAAGCCCTAGTATTCCCCCAGTCCTACACTCCCAAGGCCCATCCCTAGACCCAGTTCGTCAGGACTCGGGCGTAACAAACACCATCCTTAGCTGGGAGAAATAATCCTGCTTGTCCCTGAAATTGCACCATTAGCAAGTCATCCTTTTGAATAAAGCACCTGCCAGGTCCCTTAGAAGGGGGCATTCATCCCACACACTTCCAGGTCCATTCCTCCTCATGAGAACCAAGAGAGTAATTATAGCCTAGACATTCAAAGTAGGCACAGTGACTGCAAATGACAGCCCTCACCCTCACAGCCACCTCTTCTTGTCCCCTACACACAACCATCCTTGCTCTCCCACCCCCTGGCCATCTTTAAGTCTGAAGCAGTGGGCTCTTGCTTGGCCTGACTGGCCCAGCCTCCTCCTCTAGCCTCGGGACCCTTGGACCTTCAGCCTCCACAAGTTACTGAACTCATCTTTGCTGACAACCGCAGGAATCCAGAGATGCTAGGAGGCAGAAAGCAGCCTCCCTTTTCCCAGAGTACAGCTGATGAAGGCTAGAAGCAGCCAGCAGGATCCACTGAAAGCCTCCCACACTCAATCCTCCTTCATGCCCTCCTCCAGCCACTTTAAATAGTGCACATCTCCTTGGTCCATGGGAACACTGAAGACCTCTGGGATTTCAAAAGGATGCACCAACCTTTAGAAAGAAAGCAGAGCCCTGTGAGTGATTATGATTAAAATCAGCCTATGCAATAAAACCCTACTGGCCAGCCTTGCTTGAGGCCTTCTGCAATCTGCTGCAGCCCACCTGTCCAGTCCCATGGCCCATGACTCCTGAGACTGTTTTTCCCATCTGTCTGCAAGTGGTGAGTTGGGCCAGATGACTTTAGAGTCCCACAGACATGGGTTCAGATTCTAAGTCTGCCCTTTACTAGCTATGTAACCATGGACAAATCACTTAAATTCTCTAATGGCCCTAAAAAGAAGGGATAAAAATAGTATCTACATAATTGGATTGCTGAGGATTAAATGACACAAGGTAATAAAGCACTCACCTAGTACACTGACTGGTACAGTGTGCATTCATCAAACGTTAGCTACCGTCTTTATTACTATCCCACACTCCTCACTGTGCCTTCCCCAAACAACCCCTTCCCCAGTACCTCTGTCTTCTCCTTTCCACCTGGAAAGTTCTCCCTGTTCTTATTGATCAGTCAAAAGCCCTTCCATCCCTCAAGGTCAAATTCAACCACTGACCTTTTCCAGGGGATCTTCCTTGACCATCCAAACCCACATGACTCTCTCCCTTCTCCCCATTTCTTTCACCTGGCCCTTGGCATGCAATGCAAGTTTTCTTCATTTTCCAGAATGAAGAAGCATGAGGCCTTGGGCTTCAGTTCCCCATCTGTCAAATGGAAGCAATAATGCTCTGCTTCCTTTCTGCTGCACGAGGCATTGTAAAGTTCTCATGAGACTGCAGGCTAATAAATCACAGCATGTGTACTGGTGCTTAAACATGTGGAGTGAGCTGGGAAATTCTATCCAGTGCCCAAGAATAATGAATTTTCTTATTTCATGGACACCTGGACCAATGTATGTGTGTTTATAAGCAGACAGACAGTATTAAGACAGAGTTAAGACATTTGTAACATGTTAGTAGGAAGAGCTGACACTGATACAGCACTTTATGTGTGCACTTCACATAAATTTATCCCAAGGTACTAGCATAATCCTCATTTTACAGATGAGGTAACTGAGGCGTAGAAAGTCTAACTAATATGCATGCACTTATAACTAGCAAGTAGAAAAGCCACGATTTGACCCTAGAGGTCAAGCTCTGGAGTTCACCCTCTTAACCCTGAAGCTGTCCCTTACCAGTTAAGCTGCAATTTATTGATAGTGCTGGCTCCACCAAAGGTGCCTCATTCTTACACCTCTGCTAAGGTGTTAACACCGGGCCTTCTCTACTGCTAGATCTGAGACCAGGATATAGCCACATACTCACAGAATCCTGGTTGAAGTGAAGGAAAAGGATTTTATCATCCAGATAGGTAGGTAATTTGTATCCCTAGCTGCACATTAGAGTCAACGTGGGTGATTCTGAAGAACACTGCATTTGATCCCCATTCCAGATGAATTAAGTCAGAATCTGAGCTGGGGCCTAAATTGTTAGTTTGAAAAATTTCTCAAGCAATTATAGTATGTAGCCAGCATTAAAAGTCACTGGTTTAGACCAGTGCTTCTCAAGCTTTCCATGTGCCTGGGAGCCACCTGGGTATCTTGTTAAGCTGCAGTTTGGT